AGCGGAAAGGACTGGAGGTCCTCTAGAGAGGGGTGACCTTTCTCCCCCAGCATCCACCGCTTCCTGGATTTTCTAAACTTGAGGCACTGCCGTTAGTGCTAGAAACTTGAATTAAAAAAAAAAAAAAGATTAAGACTGTTACCTTGGAACGTAAAATGAAAAAGCGAAAGAAAAACGGAATTATAAAATGTGTGGGCAGGGAGAAGCATTGCGGGAAGCCACCAAAGGGGGGGGGGGAGGGGGTAAAAGAAATGGATATGGAATTAAAGGAATGTAATTTAATGTTGAATATGTTATATCCAAAATAAAAAGGTTTTTTGTGGGAAAAAAAAGATGATGAGGTTCTTGGAATATCAAATGTTGCCCTGCCCTTAGCAGTACTGTCCTGTCGACTGTTTCTGTTCCTGCACAGACCTCAAGAGGTGTGTTCCTGTATGGGAAGCAGAGGCCAGAATAGCCCCCCCCCGGTGCTACCCTTGGGCCAAGTCTGTTTGGACCCCAGTGTCTCTCGAGCCATTCTGGGTGCCACTAGGAAGGGATATGCAAGTCACCAGTTAGGGGAAGTAATTATATGATCTCTGGGCTCGGAGGCCTCTCTCCTCTCTCGTCTCCCCCCCCCCACCTTGCTGCTTGCTGGTGAGGAGATATTGCTGAGCCAATCCTATGCCAGTTGTTGGAAATGGGTTAGGACTCTGCGGGTAGCTCAGTGGGGTTATTCCAAGATGAGCACATTGTGAAATTTCTCGCCAAACCACTCCAATTACAGGTGAAGTGTGCTGTTTCAGGTGGGGGTGGGGAGGAGAGCAGGGCTGGTCTCCCTCTGCCTGCCGTTCCAAGGGCTCTCCTGGTCTCATTTGTACATGCACAGCAACCTTTTGCTGCAGCATCCTCCATTTTGGGGGCCTTGCAGAAGTGGGTCGGGACCCAGCACGATATTCATGGACTCTAATCAGTCTTTCTGCATGCGCTCTGCTAGAAGGCTGGAGAGTGATTCTCCCCCCCCCTGCATCCTCACTCCCGCAAGGGGTCCTGGAAAGCCATTCTGTGAAACTAAGCAGTCTCTTAAACAATTGAGTAATGAGTCAGAAAAGGAAGGCTTTGTTCTTCCCCCTTCCCTGCTGAACTTTCTTCTTTACTTCGTGTTTTACATCTCTCTCTCTCTCTCTACAACTGCTTCAGCCAAGATCCCTGTGCTTGAAATCCTTCCCGAACTCTGCAACCAGGCAACTTCAAATGTTGCAATTACAATAAATCTTGTGTCATTATGATGGGTGGTGCAGTGGCCAGAACGTTCGGGCTTGAAGTGGGGGGGCTGGGCAGTCGAGGCCCTGCTGTGGCATGAAGTCTCTTCTGGGGGAGCCAGGGTCTTGCTGCTCACGAGTCAGCTTAGCATACCTCCCAGGGTGGCTGTTCTGAGGAGGAAATGGGATAAGCCTTGAGTTTTTTGGAAGTGATAAATAAGGCTAGGTTTGCAAAATCTTTTGAATAAGGGAAGAGGGCTGTGGCCCAGCGGTAGAGCATCTGCTTGGCATGCAGAAGGCCTCAGGTTCAATCCCCAGCATCTCCAGGTCAAGGATCTGGCTCTAGGTGATGTGAAAGTCCTCTCTCTGCCCGAGACCCTGGAGAGCCGCTACCAGTCTGAGTAAACAGTACTGACTTTGGACCAAGGGTCTGACTCACTATGAGGCAGCTTCATGCATGTTCATGTGTTTGTGGCAGGTAGATGGCACAGTACCTTAGAAGCTGAAAGATGGTCCACTAGCAGGCTGTGTTCTGGTTCTAGAGCCATTACCAGGATCCCATGGTCTCCGTATGGCAGAAACTTGACCCCCTCCCCAAGCAGAACATACTTTGGGGACTCAAGGATTTCTTGACCCTCCTCTGCCAGTAGTTTCCTTACACTCTGCCTCTACCTTGCACCCAGATAGTTTTGTTTTTCCTTGCCCTGTGACCCAGGGAGCACAAAGACCTGCTGCCTGCAACTTGCGGTGCCAGAAAGCGCTTTGCCTTTGCTGATACTGCAGTGGGAATGTGCAGTATTGAGGGTTTGGTAGTAAGACCCCCTAGCAGTGAAGCAACGGGGATGGCCTCCTAAGAGATGAGAGAAGGATGCGGTGGTGAGTGTGGGGTGCAGTCCAGAGAGAAAAGGGACCAGTTGGCTCTAACCAGCGAGCCAGGGTGGTGCCGTGGTTAGTGCCGGACTAGGACTTGGGACACCCATGTTCCCCTTTGCTCTGCTGTGGAAGCCTGGTAGCCTTGGGCCAGTCACACCCCCTCCCTCCACTTACCCTACCTCGCAGGGTCATTGTGAAGATAAAATGGTGGAGAGGAGAACAAACTAAGGTGCTTTGGGTTCCATTGGGGAGAAAGTTGGGGTATAGATGAAGTCTGTAACCCTTCTGCTTGTGCAAACAGAATGTGCAGGGGAAGCAAGTGATGATCATGGGTTAGGACAAGGGTACCTGAAGGAAGTGTGCCTGCGCATATGCAAGCCTATACCGAGAATTGAACTTGGTTGGTCTCAAAGGTGCCGCTGGACTCAGACTTTGTCCGTTTTCTGCTGTTCCTCTCCTTCTCCCCCCATCCTCTCTCAGAGTTGGGACCTGGTGCAGCAGACACAGAACTACCTGAAGCTCCTGATCTCCATTATCAACAGGGACGGTGAGAGGCTTCTTCCTCCTGTGCCGGGTGAGGGTGTTGTGTGGCGACTGGCTGCCCGGGCCAAGGGCTGCTCCCTGTGCGCGGTCATGCTCCAGGTCTCCCTTGCCTAGGCTGCCTCCGCAGAGCACTTTCTGGTAGCCTGCAAAGTTTCCCTGGAGAGGAAAGCTTGGAGGGGGTGGGGTGTGTGTGGACTCTTTTGCTTTGACACCTTTGCTCTCTGAGGAGGGGGGGGGGGCAGTGATTTCCGGACCCTGCATTCAGGGCTTTCTGCTTTGGCTTTGCTAAGTCAGGCTGCAGCAGTTAGTGTCATGCCGCCTCTGTTCTGTTTCTGCTCATTTTGGGCTGCAGGCAAAGACTTTGGGTTTAGATCACCCCTCCCCGAGAAGAGTTCTGACCCTTTCCTTATAAGTTAACGTTCTCTGACCTGTATTAAGCGATGCAGGTCCGGAGGTCTGCATATATCTGCTTATTTTGGATTACTCTCTTCTGTTTTAACTCCGCTGAAGAGAAGAGCAGCCCTTCCTAGGAAATAGTAACCTGTGCTGTATGTGGAGCTGGGCTGGGGTAGGGGAAGAACTGGGTTCAGCTTCCTGCGTGAATTCCCTCCCCCCCAAGTCTTTGTTTGCTGAAACTTGACAGCCGTTGCCTTCACGGCAGTTTCAAGCAACTTGCCAGGATGGGGATAAAAACATAAGAAGAGCCCTGCTGGATCAGACCACTGGTCCATCTAGTCCAGCATCCCGTCTTGCACAGTGGCCAACCAGGTCTTTTGGATGGCTGACAATGGCATGTAGAGGCCGAGGCCTTCTTCTGGTGTTGCCTCCTGGCTCTGGGATTCAGAGGCTTAGTGCCTCTGAATGTGGAGGTTCCCCTCAGTCACCATGGCTTGTAGCCACTGGTAGACCTCTCCTCCATGAATTTATGTAATCCCCTTTTAAAGCTATTTATTCCTGTGGCCATCACTACATCCTTTGGCAGCGAATTCTGCATTTTAATCACTCTCTGTGTAAAGTAGTCTTTCCTTTTGTCCATTCTGAACCTACTGCCCACCAGTTTCATTGGATGCCTTTGAGTTTTCGTATTTGGGGAGAGGGAGAAAAAACTCTCTCCACCCCATGCATAATTTTATAAACCTCTTTCATGTCTCCCCTTAGTCATCTCTTTTCTACAGATCTCTTCTCTAAACTGAAAAGTCCCAGACCTGTCAGCCTTTCCTTATAGGGAAGGTGCTTCAATCTCCAATAATCTTGGTGTCCCTCCTCTGTACTGGGGACGGTATGCTCTAAAAACTTCCAGGATGCTGCCATGGGTCTTTCCAGCCTGCTCCTGTGTTTGGGTCTGATTGGATCGTGGGACACGTATGGCTTTGGCTCTTGTGCTTTTCCCGTCGAGCTCCCTGTTTGATTGTGGTGTGCCTGAAGGCGTTTCTCCCTAAACCCCTTCTCTAGCGTAGCCATGTACTGCACAACAGGGAATATGTGTGGGGTACCTTCTTTCCCCACACTCCCAGCCCCCCCCCCCATTTACTGAAAAGAGGAGGCTAGCCACCTAGGAGGTGTGCCCTGCACTGGTCTTGCAGCAGCGCAGTCCAGCCACGTGGGTAGGTGTGTGGCTCCACACCCTTGCAATGGAGCAGCCTGCTGCAGAGGAACGTCCAAATCCCCTGAAGCATAAATCACACAGGGGCTTGTTTTGCCCACTAGATATGGTCAAGGCATTTTAAAGCAATGAGACCAAAGAGGGGTGGGCTTCTGGGACGTCCCTTTTTTTTTTTTAAATCGTTCACGATCATTCAGTAACCAAACCAGGCAAGGAGATCCCAACCCAGCTCTTCAGGGAAACATTCAGCTGCGTTGAGTAAATTCTTATGGTGGGGAGTGGGGTATAAATGATTTAAAGGAATCCAGGGGCTTGGGCTGCCATGACCTCCTGGAAGTGGTGGTGGGGAGAGTTGTGCAGTTGTGCATGCCCTCGGGATGGTTCCCGGTCCTGTCTTAAATTCATGTCTTGCTCGCTGGAGGTCTTCTCGCAGAGGCTGGGTGGCCAGTAATAAATAAATAAATTTCACAGTGATGCTTTTAGCTTTGGAGTTCCTGCTTTGAGGGAAGGGGCTTAGGCTTGATAACCCGCCAGTCTCTTCTCCCACGCCACGACTCTTGCTACTGTTGCCCTGGGTCTCCCCCTGTGAGGCCCCGTTCTCCGTTAATCTGTTCTGTGCAGACCCTGCTAAGAGAGTAACCTGGCTTGGGTGGGATTCTAGGGCCTGTAGTGGGAAGAGAGGGGAGAGTTTGCGAGGAGGGGAGGGGCAGCACTATCCAGACAGTTGCAGCCCTATGCCGCCTTAGGCAGGTGAGAGTTTTTGTGGTTGCGAGTGCCATGAAGTTGCAGCTGACTAACCGCCCCTGTGAGGTTTTTCAAGGCAAGAGATCAGTCCGAAGTGGTTTGCCATTGCCCACCTCTGCAGTAACAACCCTGGACTTGCTTGGTGGTCTCCCATCCAACTATTAACCAGGGCTGGCCTTGCTTAGCCTTCCAAGATCTGACAAGATCGAGCTAGCCTGAGCTGTCGAGGTCAGCACAGAGAGCCTGCATGTTCCCCTAGCCTTTTTCTTCTTCTGCCGCCACCACCACCCCCTTCCTGCCTTCCTTAGTCTGGTTTGTCCATTCCTCCTTGCCTTGGGATTCTGCTTCACAGAGGCTGTCCCTGGAGAACACGTCTCCTTGTCCAGCCGGCCCGGCATCTGCTGTGGCGTCTCCTGGGGACTAATGGAGGCCTCTGTACTGGTGGGGGGGCTTTTCATCCTGAATGCCATGCAAGTAACCGAGCTTTCTCCCCCTCCCCACACCCTTTTTGTTTCCCCTTCCTGCCGGCTCAGCGCAGATGATGGTGGGCTCCTGGTACACTGTATATCCGGCTGGGATAGAACACCTCTCTTCATTTCCCTCCTGCGCCTTTCCCTGTGGGCTGTGAGTACCATTGGGCGCATTGCCTTGCAAGTAACGACCAGAGAGGTCTTGAAAGGGAGAGGCTGGATGTAGCTGATGTGCTGACTTTCTGATGACGGGGGAAAGCTAGACTTTCTGATGACGGGGGTGTGTGTGTGTGTGGAATGAGAAGTCAAGCTTCTGTGTTTAAAATTGCTCAGACAAGCCTCGTGTTGCCTGCAAAACTTGGAAAGGGTAGCTGCTGAACTGAGATTCTTGTGAACACTGTTGCATTAGGAAGGGAAGTTACTGGTAAACTGACCCTGACTGGGGTAGAAGGCAGTTCAGAGGAAATTCAGTTGTAGGAACCAAAACTTGCATCCTTTTGGCTTCCAGGTTTTCCCTCCTGGGCTGGCACCCTCCTGCGGCCGGTTGCCAGTGCCTCCTGAGTGGCCAAAGACCCACCATGTCTTGCTTGGCGTGGGATACCCCAAAAGGTCGCAGGCAGAGGGAAAGAATTCTTGCTTTGCGTGCCTTCACTCATCCAGGTTAAGGAAGCCAGCTTCATGCTTTCTCTAGATCCTGGATAGCAGAAACTGTGTATACATTTTCTGTTCCCCCCCCCCTCTTTGATTTTTATCTTAATTTTTCTCCCTTGATTAAAAGCTGGGATTTCTTGAGGTCGTTTGGTTCATTATGTCTCAAGCGCCCCTCCATTGTGAGGACAAGAGTCCTGTGGCACTTTTAAAGACTTAACAGATTTATCCTGGCATTCATTGTGAGGAACATCCTGTGCTGTTTAATATTTGATTATGGCTCGCCTTGACTCTGTGAAACCTCCCCGTCATAACTCCCAGCCCTTTAACATTTGAAGAGGAGACATGATTCAGACCTGATGAGACGCGTGATGACTTCTCTTCTCCCTCCCAGCCGAAGTCAGTATAAGGGCACACCCCTTGAAGCCGTGTGCTCCTCTCTCCCGAATGCCTCACTAGTGTCCCCACAAGCTGCGGGTGTTGGGCAGGGCATTGCTGAGGGAGACACTGTTTGGTGCCAGGTACTTAGTGGGCTGCACGGCCAGGTGGGTGCAAATTCCTAGACTCCACCCAAACCCAAGGCCCATCTTGCGTTCTGCAGAAGTCTGTTCTGCAGCTGGAACAAATTAGGACTCCTTGCCTGGTTTATATTGGTGGGGTGTGTGAAAGGTAGTAAGTGCTGGGATTGTCAAGCAAGGGAGAGAAGAACGCAGGATGAACCTCAGGGCCAGGGAGCTGTGCCCACAAGCCGAGAGGTGACTTTTACAAAAGATACTGGACAGATGCTAGCTGTGCTGGGCATTCAGTGCTGTTTCCAAGTGATCCCAGTTTTCCCCTCTAACAAAATGAGGTCTAGAAGCTTGCTTTTATGAAATGAATTTTAAATATATGGGGGGGGCAGTCTCTAAAAATTCTAGTGTGCTGTGTAGTTCTGCAGTACCTCTCTTTGGAAGAGAGTATAGGTTTTGAGGAGTACCATTTGCTGGCTTGATTGAATTGTTTTTCCAGGTGATAACCCAGGGCATTTTATGTAAGGGGATAAGTTGGGGGGCGGGGCGGGTAGGCATTGCAGAGAGTGATGTGTCAGGTGTCTCTTCTCTTTTTGTTGTTGTACCCAGGATGGGCTGATCCATGCATCCCTGGAGCCTGCAGAGATTCTTTACCTGACCGTGGCCTATGATTGGTTCCTCTTCGGGTGAGCGTGCCCGGAGGCTGGCCCTGCCATGGTTGGAAGGGCCGGGAGAATGGCGGTCTGCATTCATGCAGTGTTCTTCAAATGTTTTGAACTCGGGACTGACATTCTAAGCTTTCCTTACCTGGTACCTCTGAGAGGGGGGCCTCCGGTCCACAAGGGCTTATACGGGAATAAAACCTTGTTAGTCTTTGAGCGCCCTGAATAGGCCGGCCTATCCTGATCTCATCAGGTCTCAGAAGCTGAGCAGGGTCAGCCCTCGACAGTACTTCGGTGGGAGACCACCAGGGAATGCCAGGGTTGCTCCGCAGAGGCAGGCCGTGGGAAACCACCTCTCAACACTCTTTTGCCTTGAAAACCCTGCAGGGTTGCCACAATTTGGTTGCAACTTGATGGCCCCCCCAAAAATGTCTCTTAAGAGGCCACTCCTGCTCATTTTCAAACATGACTTATATTTGCATCCTGTTCTGTGTGGGGTTTTGGACACTGATCTGGTACTAGCCCTCAGAAGAGAAGCAGTGAAAGAGGAAAAGCCAGGGCAGGGCAGCAGTTGGGCATATTGTGCCTAGATCCTTGGAGACCTGGGTTCAGATCCCTACTCTGCCATGGAGCCCTCCAGGTGACCTTGGACTTCTCACGCTCTCTCTGCCTAACCTACTTCATGTTTGTGCATTATGCACTGAAGGAAAGCAGGATTTTTAAAAGAGGGTGTGTATATATATAGAGAGAGGGAGAACAAGAGCTCTGCCCTCCTTTCTAAGACCATTCACACGGAGGCATCATTGAAACATACTAGCCACTCTAAGCGCCCTTCTTGCCAGGCGGCGTACAGGCTAGGTATTGTCAGGATGCCTTGCCAAGAGGCATTCAGTGAAACCTCAGTGTGCTTAGCAGGAAGGCTCAAGGCTTAACCTACCCTGTGAAGATCTTCTCTCCTACTCCCTGAGATTCCACATGTTGTTCCTCCTTCCAATGTCCCGAGCTCTTTGGTGTTGGCTCACTGTTGAAGCACCCAGGGGGTAATGTGTCTCTGAAGGTATCTTTGATGGCCTGCAAAAATAGTGTTGGGGTGGGAGTCTCTGGCCAGGTTTCCTTTCGTTCTTTATTTTTCTTTGAGTTTTGAATTGGTGCTCAATCTTTAATCTGTATCACCCCCCCATGTTTCCCTTGCAGGCATATGCTGGTGGATCGGCTCAGCAAAGGAGAGGAGGTGAGTGACCTCACAAGGGCAGTGGGGGGGGGGGCAGCAGCGTCCCCACTCCAGGTGCTCCATTGGGCTCAGTTACTCAGAAGCAGGGCTATTTTTGGGCAGGAACGCACAGGAACGGAGTTCCGGCTGGCTCCCAAGTTGGCCATGCCCAGCAGGAACTCATTAGCATAATAGCAGAAACTCATTAGGATTGGTTACATTAGGGATGTGTGGCCTAACATGCAAAGGAGTTCCTGCTACAAAAAAAGCCCTGGGTTTTGACAACAAACAAGGTAAACAGAATAGCAAGCAAAAGGTGGGTGTGGCTCGATAACCATATTTCTGGTAACATGGGGGTGCGGCCTAATGTGCCAATGAGCTGTGCTGTCAGGGGTGTGGCCTAATATGCTAATGAGTTTCTGATGTTGGGTGTGGCCTATTATGCTAATGAGTTCCTGCTGGGCTTTTTCTACAAAAAGAGCCATGCTCAGAAGTATAGGTATTATGGGCACCCGAGAGATTAGCATGGTGCAACAGTCCAGAGCCTGTGCCAAGCGACGAAAATTCTGAGCAGGACGCACAGTGTCTCTCGAGCAGAGTCAGTCTCGCTTTCAGTTTTTATGGTGAACGCACTTACAAAAATTGGAAGCACTGTGTGAGAAGAACTGGGGGGAGCAAAGGAGAGTGAGCTGGGGGACAGCAACATTTGCCTTGTGAGAGTGACGGAGTTCTAGAGCTCCCCCACTCCTGGGCTGTAGCTATCTCAGGCAATTCTACAGGAGGGCTTTGGCGTTCTTTGCATGTGACGCTTCTTTAGCCTCCATCTCCCTGATTGGTGGCCGGCTTTGGTGACGAGTTCTTCCAGAAGCCCAGCCTCTCAGTGAGAGGTGCAGTGCCAGTAGTGCATATGCCACCAACGCAGATCGGCGCGCACGTCCTTCCCAGAGCCTCAATGTACTTGTGCCTCTTGTCCGTACAGAGCTTATAACATTGTTCTCCCCTCCTCTGTTTTATTCACAAAACAATCACCCTGTGGGGTAGGCCAGAGAGAGTGGACTGGCCCAGAGTCACCCAGCAAGCTTCTGTTACAGAGCGAAGAGCCAGCCCTGTGTCGGCCAGCTCTTGCATCATCCACTGCTGTAACCACTGTGCCACTCTGCAACCTGACGCAGGGAGCATTGACTCTCAATAGCTCATGCCCCGAAAATCTTGTACGTCTCTACGGTGCTGCTGGATTTAAATCTAGTTGGCTTCTGAGTGTGGATATGGCTGCCTAGAAGCCCACTAATGGCCAAATTAAGCAACGCGCACATAAAAACTTTCTTCCTCCTCAAATTGCAGAAAGCCAAAGCGCTATGCGGTCCCTGTCGGTTTTTAGTTTACGGCCCTGATTGTGCATGCCGACTTTGTTTATCCCGATAAGTCCTGAGTATGTGTGGGTTTTTTGGTTTTTCTTTGCCAGGAGTGAATTGGTAGCAGTTGTGTGTGTCTCTTGTACACAAGCCTGGCCAGCAGGCTGCAGGGGTGCCCCAAAAGGCCCCAGAAGTGTTACCTAATGAGAGGGGGGTAGTTTGTGTGTGTGTGTGTTACTGGGAGTGATCGCCTCCTTTGGGCCTGCTGAGGTATGAAGCCTTCAGAAATGGCAGCGCTCAGCAATACAGCCCCCCCCCCCGCCGCCGCCTAGCTCTGTTCTTTCTCTTCTTTTTTTTAAACCACTCTTTCAAATTTTTTTGTCCTTTCAGATTTTCTTTTTCTGCTTCGATTTTTTGAAGCACATCACCTCTGAGGAGTTCTCCGCTGCCAAGCCGCTGAGGTAAGAGCCCCTGCGTCCGCCACCACAGGACAGGGTAAAGACGAGCGGAGCGCCTCGCTGGCACACGCTCTTTTCTTCCGGGAGATGGAAGCCCTCGTGTCCTGGCCCAGTTCGCTTTAATTTATTCCACACTCTGAAGACAGAGGGGAGAAAATGGGGCCGAGGATTGGGGGCACATTGCGTTCTCCAGGGCTGCTTGAGCCAGGAGTCCTTAATAAGCGAAGCAGTGGTGTGACTCCTTTCAGTGCAGTCTGTGGTCTTTGACGCTTGTGATGGAAGGGCCTCCTCCCCTGGCTGGCTGTAACTTTTCACACTGTGCAGGGTCAGGCCCAGAGGCCCATGTAGAGACTAAGCGGGTGCTTTGGGGAAGCTTGCAAGCAGGACATCCACCAGTCACAGCTATGTTGTCATCTGCTCCTGGTAATCAGATCATATTACCTGGTTCCCCTCTTGTCTGGTACCCAGCACAGGATTTCAGTTGCCACTGAACACGGAGCCCTCATGGCCTTGGCTGGCCCCACCCTCTGAGTTTTGTCTTTGGGCTTGGGGGTGGCATCTGAGCTACAGCTTGCCTCCTCAGGCTTCCCTCTCCCTCCCACTGTGGAATTTTTTTTGGGGGGGGTCATCATTGGACCTGGGAAAACACAGCTCAGAGAGCATTTAATTGTCATCAGAAGGCATTTAAATGCCTTTTGAGTTCCCTTCTACAGAGCAATAAAGCTTAGAAGGGCACTCAAGAGTGGCACCTTCAGTACATCTCCAAGAATCCCCCTTTCTGCCGTATACCCCCTAGGTCACGGTGAGTCTTTCAAAAGCATTCCTGTGAGCCTTTGGGAAACATGCAAATTAATTTCCCAAAGGCTCATGGGGATGCGTTTGAAAGACTCACCATGACCTAGATGGTATGCAGCAGGACTGGGCTAGCAGAAAGGGGGATGATTGGAGAAGTTCTGAAGGTGCCACTCTTGAGTGCCCTTCTACGCTTTCTTGCTCTGTGGAAGGGAACTCAAAAAGGCATTTAAATGCTTTCTGAAGGCAGCTAAATGCCCCCTCTGAGCTGTTTTTTTCCCCTAGGAACTGACGTGCCCGCTGCTAGAAACAGGCTTGGAGCCTCTCCCTTTAAAGACAGGCATTCAGATTAATTCAATTAATTGTAATTTAACTGCCTCCTTAAAAGTTTAAACCCCCTCCCCCCCACAAATCCTGGCTACAGGCCTGGAGGTAGCAGTGAATTGTTGATAGGTGAAGAATCAGTTCCTGAAGCTGCTGCCAGTGGGCTTCCTGGAGTGACTCTAAGAAGGGCAGGAGACAATTTCCTCTTCGCACTTGCTTGTAGCAGTGTGAACGTCTGCGCCCTCCCTTGCCTCCTTTTAATTAAAACACCCTGGCTTTCCTGTGGGGAAGCCGAGCCCTTTCCCTAACAAGGAGGAAGTCACCTTCCATGTAAAGAGGAAAGTTTTTCCCCCCCAGGTAAAGAGGAAAGTTTTTTCCCCCCAGGTAACCTTCCCGGTGAGGCTGCTGTGTATACTGATTCTGTCATCTCTCTCTCTCTCTCTCTGTTCCCTTCCTTTTCCTACCCCAGAAGGAAGAGCCTGCCCCCCGGATTTACATTGGAAGAGATCTGCATGCTAAGTGAGTGCCACTTTCTCCCTTCCAGCCAGTTCCCCACCTGGACCTGAGTTCGGTCCACTTCCTGCTGGTGGATGGGGAATGCCAAGGTAGCCGCTCGCCAGGAGGGATTTAGGGAAGTTGTAGAATCCAGGTTCACCAGAAGGGTGCCAGGTCCACCTGTAAGTTGTGGGATTCAGCTTCCAAGAAAGATCAGTGTCTGTGGTTAACCCCATTGTAATAGCTACACATTGCAGTGGGCATTTGAAAAAGTCAAGTTAGAATGCAAATCCCAGAAGAACGTAAGAGAAGCCAATGTTGGATCAGGCCAGTGGCCCATCCAGTCCAACGCTCTGTGTCACACAGTGGCCAAAACCCAGGTGTCATCAGGAGATCCACCAGCTAAGCCAGAACTCCAGATTCCCTCCCATTATTGCCCCCCAAGGACCAAGAATACAGAGCATCACTGCCCCAGACAGAGTGTCCCGTCTATGCCATGCAGCTAATAGCCATTGATGGACCTCTGCTCTGTATGTTTATCCAGTTCCCTCTTGAAGCTATCTATGCCTGTAGCTGGCACCACCTCCTGTGGCAGTGAATTCCATGTGTTAATTACTCCCTGGGTGAAGAAGGACTTCCTTTTATCTTGTCTAACCTTACTGCTCATTAATTTCATTGAGTGTCCACAAGTCCTTGTATTGTGAAAAGGGGAGAAAAGTAATTTTTCTCTACCTCTATCCCATACATAATTTTGTAAACCTCTATCATATCACTCCTCAGTTGTCGTTTCTCCAAGCTAAAGAGCTGTAACCTCTTTAATCTTTCTTCATATGGAAGGTGTTCCATCCCCTTAATAATTTTAGTTGTCTTTTCTGCACTTTTTCCAATTCTATAATTTTTTTTGAGGTGCGGTGACCAGAACTGTACACGGTATTCCAAATGAGGCTCCGCAATAGGTTTATACAGGGACATTGTAATACTGGCTGATTTGTTTTCAGTCCCCTTCCTAATAATCACCCAGCATAGCATTTGCCTTTTTTATTGCAGTCACACACTGAGTTGACATCTTCAATGAGTTAACTACCACGTCTCTAAGATCTCTCCCCTGGTCAGTTACCACCAGTTTGGACCCCATCAATGTATATTTATAGTTAGGATGTTTAGTTCCAGTCTGTGTTACTTTGTGCTTGACCAAGTAGATCCTCATTTGCCAAGTTGACGCCCACTTGCCCAGCCTCAGCAGATCCTCTGGAGCACCTCACAGTCCTCCCTGGTTCTCACCTTGTCCTGAACAACTTAGTGTCATCCACAAACTTAGCCACTTAACTGCTTCTTCCCAACTCCCAATCAATAATGAACAAGTTAAAAAGCACCGGACCTAGTACCGAGCCCTGTGGTACCTCACTGCTTACCACCTTCCACTGTGATTTATACTCTGTTTCCTGTTAATTAACCAGTTTTAAATCCACAAGAAGACTTGTCCTCTTATCCCATGACTTCTGAGTTTACTTAGGAGCCTTCGATGACTAACCTTTATCAAAAGCTTTCTGGAAGTCTAGGTAAACAGCATCTACTGGGTCCCCCTTGTCCACATATTTGTTCATCCCCTCAAAAGAACTCTAGAAGGTTAGTGAGACAAGATCTTCCCTTACAGAATCCATGCTGATTGTTCCTGAGTAGCTTTTGTTCATCAATGTGCCCTCTAAGCTGAGTTAGTGTGAGCTAGCTCAGTTTTTTTTTAGCCTCCAGCTCACAGATTTTTGTCTTAGCTCAGGAGGGATGGCTCCAGAGAAAACTAATTTATGCAGTCGCCAAATTGCTCGGTCACTAAGGCCAGTAGCTCACAAAGTAAAATTTTCGCTCACAAGACCATAACTTAGAGGGAGCATTGGTGCCTACTAATTCTGTCTTTAATAACAGATTCCCAACACAGGAGTCTGTGGAATAAACTGTTAAAGAGTTTTAAAAAGAAATCCAGATGCTCAGGGGGCCTTGTGTATGCTTAACACCCAATAGGATATCAGCTAAGATTGTCAGCTTTCAGCGGGTCAGGTTTCTAGTCCTCTTAGCTGTAAAGAGATGCGTCGAAGCATATCTCCATGGAGGTCTCACAGCCAAGGGGTTGTTTAAGGAGATTTCCCTTGGATGGAGGGTAGAGCTTTCAGCACCCTCCCTGTGATTCAGTGTAACAGAATAGTTTACATAAAATGGTGAGTGTTGTGGGAGGGGCACTGATGCAAAATAAGGAAGCCGTGCTAATGTGGTTAAGAGTCAGCATTTATGCAAAATTTATTTATTTATTTATTGTTTGTTTGTTTAATTTGTATCCCGCCCTCCCTGCCAAGGCAGGCTCAGGGCGGCTTACAGAGGATGTATGTTAAAACAGCATAAGAACATAAGAACATAAGAGATGCCAATGTTGGATCAGGCCAAAGGCCCATCCAGTCCAACACTCTGTATCACACAGTGGCCAGAAATACCGGTGCCATCAGGAGGTCCACCAGTGGCGCCAGGACATTAGAAGCCATCCCACTGTTGCCCCCCCCCCCCAAGCACCAAGATGACAGAGCAAAATATGTTAAAACACAAGATTTAAATAAAATCACAACATATAAACAGAAACACATCATAAGGTGTGCTAGTACAATCATGAGCGGTGGCGGCATTCTCTCAGCATCCGAGTGGTCAACTGGTTTATTGTTTGTTTGTTTGTTTAATTTGTATCCCGCCCTCCCTGCCAAGGCAGGCTCAGGGCGGCTTACAGAGGATGTATGTTAAAACAGCAAAATATGTTAAAACACAAGATTTAAATAAAATCACAACATATAAATAGAAACACATCATTATGATTGTACTAGCACCTTAACGATGGCGGCATTCTCTCAACATCCGAGTGGTCAACTAGCACCATAGTCTGGGTTTTTGCCAGGCCGTTGAGTATTAAGTTGGTGTTGATTTTGGGGCCGGGGCCTTAATATTAGAAAGGCGGCACCCTAATCGAAGGCCTGGTGGAAGAGCTCCATTTTGCAGGCCCTGCGGAACTGTAAGAGGTCCCGCAGGGTCCTGATGTCATCCGGGAACTCATTCCACCAGTGCAGGGCCACCACAGAAAAGGCCCTGGCCCTTGTCACAGCTAACCTGGCTTCTTTAGGGCCTGGAAGGGCCAGTTGGTTTTGGGACCCCGATCATAGTGCTCTCTGGGGAACATGTGGGGAAAGGCGGTCCCTTAGGTATGTAGGTCCCTGACCATATAGGGCTTTAAAGGTAAGAACCAGCACCTTGAACTGAATTCAATATGCTACAGGCAGCCAGTGCAGTGCTTTTTAGGGCAGGCTGGATGTGCTCCCGCATAGGGAGGCACAACAATAGCCTGGCCGCTGCGTTCTGCACCGGCTGCCGCTTCCAGATTTGGGACAAGGGCGGCCCCATGTAGAGAGCATTGCAGTAGTCCAATCTCAAGGTGACCATTGCGTGGATCACTGTTGCCAGGTCATTGCGTTCAAGGAAGGGAGCCAACTGCCTAATCAGCGGCAGATGGCAAAAGGCTGACTTCGCAGTGGCTGCTACCTGGGCCTCCATCGTTAAGGAGGCATCCAGGAGCACTCCCAGACTCCTAACCTCTGGCGTTGGCATCAACGGTGCCCCATCGAAGGTCAGGAGTGGGATCCCTAACCTTGGCTCGCTCCAACTCAGGCACAGGACCTCCATCTTCGTTGGATTCAATTTCAGTCGACTCAGTCTAAGCCAACCAGCCACAGCTTTTGCAGGGTCTAGCCTTTTTCTGGTCACAGTTTCGGCTGTGATTTGTGTCCAAACTATTCAGGGCATTCATGGTCCTGATTATAATCTATGCAACATACTTCCCAGTGTGGAATGTGGCTTAGAGTAGCTATTCAGTGTATTGAAAGTAGGCCCATATCCCCCTGGGAAGCCATGACTGAGAAAGAGTGAATTGTCCAAGACCTGGAGTAAACTGTTTGGCCGGGCTGAGCCTTGGATGGAGGTTTAATGTGTACAGTCTCCTGCTTCCCATGAGCAAAGGTCTGTTTGAGAGAGAGTTCACCAACATTTTTAGAATCCAGGGCACCAAGAGTCCCTCTAACCCAGGGGTGTCAAACATGCGGCCGGATCAGGCCCCCGGAGGGCTTCTGTCAGGCCGGCGGTGGAACCGGCTGTCTTCTGCTTCTTCTTCCAGTTCTGCTGCTGCTGTGTCATCATAAGTTTGCAGCTTACAGATACACACCTGAACAGCATACTCAAGATTGCAACAGTGCAGACATTTTGATGCAAGAATTCAGAGCAAGAGGTGTTAATTATCAGACACTGTTAAATAAACAAAATATTGCAAGTGCTAATGTTATAAGCATGCTTGTATTTTAAGCAAAAAAAACACCCTTTGTGTTTGTGTCCTTTATAAAGTTTATATCCCCACAACCTGGCATTACATTTTATGACACACATGGCCCGGCCCAACAAGGTCTCATTTATGTCAGATCCGGCCCTCATAACAAATGAGTTCGACACCCCTGCTCTAACCCTTTAAAGGAGCAGCTGCTTTTTGGAGATGAAGGCCTGGGAACTTCTGTTCACTACTGTAGCTGTCAAGAAGCCACTTAAGCTTTTTGGAGGTGAAGGCCTGGGAACTTCTGTTCACCACTGTAGCTGTCAAGAAACCACTTAATTGTCATCATAACTGCCCCCTCCCCTTAAGGGAAAAGAACTAGCCATGTCCCCCACCCCCAAATTATCTCCTTCCGTTATTAATCGCAAATGCCAAACATTGTTTTTTGGGATATTCTATCTAGTATTCATACGTTCTGCATAGAAGCCTCCCATAGTACCCTAGATTTGAGTCCAGTAGCAACTCTGAAGCGCCCTGAATCTCTGCCCCAAAAAGCTGAATTGTGACCATGTGAAATCCTTCTCAGTATCTGTACCTCCCTCGTCCAGATCTCTGTTCTCAGCAGGCTTAGTCCACCTGCTTTCAGACTGGCCCTCGAGGATTAAGGCCGGCTTCCTCAACTTTGCACTCTGTTCCCCCCCCCTTTGTGCAGCTTGTGGTTCTGAATAGCAGCATACGCAGCAGCAGCTCTGCAGTCCCTCTTGTGTAGAGCGGATAGAACAAGCTGCTTTTTCGGATGGGGAAGCTGCAACGAGGCGTGTATTGAACGCTTTGCAAAATGCATGCCAAAGTTTGCGTCAAAGAAACCCGAACCCCTGGCCTTGTAATGAGTTATGCCAGTAAAAGACCTCAAGAGGTGTTGTAAGTACTTTTCCTGGATGTAGCTTACTGGGATGAGAGAGAGACTCTTTAAAACTTCCCCCATTAATTTCCTGGAAGCTTTGCTCTGTCGCTTCCCGGATTCTGAGACTCTGTCACTAATGGCTGTGGAAAAGGCTCCACCAGCGTGGGTACATTCCTGACCTTCAACATGATCTGCGATGGCAGAAATGTCCATGACCAACCCTTGACAATCTTGACCTTGCATCCTTGATACCATGTGAATTGGGCCCTCACAGCGCAGTCTGGCTGTAGTTTCCACCATTTGGCAGTATCGGCTGTTCCTGCTGCTCTGGATATGTGCAGGTTGCTGACAGCAGTTCCTAGACCTGCGTGTCCTGTGCTGGGTTACGTCACCCAAGTGCCTCCATGAAAGCAGTGACCCCACGAGTCTGTGGCAGGCAGATGGCAAGGACAGTCCTGGCTGGGCCCTATACCTACCCGTTTTGTATTCCAGAGCAGAGGGACCGGGGCAGCACCACCAGCCTGAGCAGCGACTTCTCTCTGGTGATGGAGAGCTCCCCTGGGGCCGCGGGGAGCTTCACCTATGAAGCCGTGGAGCTGATGCCGGCAGGCTCACAGACTCAAGCTGCTTGGTAAGATGCTGCTCCTGCGTGCACGTGTCTGTCGGTGAGGAAGGGCCGTGGCTCAGTGGTAGTGTAGAAGGTCCCAGGTTCAATCCCTAGTTAACGGATCTGGCCGTAGGTGCTGTGAAAGACCTCTGCTTGAGACCTCGGAGAGCTGCTGCCAGGCTGAGTAGGCAATACTGACTTAGAGGGACCGAGGGTCTGGTTCAGGAGAAGGCATCTTCCATATGTGCTCACGGTTGCAGGGAGAGGCGCTGTGCATTAAGCCAGAAAGCAAAAAGGTGTCTTTCAGCTGAGCAAAGTTTGAAGCCTTTTCTCCCAATGAAGTGGTTCTTCCACTGGAGGAAGAGCCACTTAAGTTGGAGGGGAGGCCCTTGAGGCTGGAGGAACTTCCTCCAGTCTATTGAGAATGGCCCAGCTGCTGTCCCATCTCTCCTCCCCCACCCCCTGTGTTTCCGTCATTCATTCTGATGGCGTGGTGAGAACCAGGCCAAGTTCCCAGTGGAAACTAGAGAGACCGGAAGCCCTCGTGGAGATTGCAGAGACCTTGGGCCGGTGGTGGATAGTTTTGAGCAGTGGACCCTGTACTCCAGGGGGCCGCCCGAACATGCCCCATTTAGCACTGGGGGGGGGGGGAGGATTCTTCTGCTTGGGTACCAGGGCTTCCCTTGACTGCATGGGACCAGGAGGCTTAGAGCAGTGATCTCACGCCCTCCTGTTCCTCGTTCCCTCTCTAAGGGAAAGTTTGCAGTCCGTGAGTCTATAGAAACCTGATCCGTCCCAGGTCTAAAATGCCATTCGGTCATCTCGTGGGGGGGGGAGCAGTCTCTTGAATCTGTATTACCTCGTCACAAAGCCAGTTCCAAGGTACGCAACTCACCCCCTTGGATGATATGTAGGGTTCTTGACAGTGAGGGCAGTACGAAGCCAGCCTCGCCTGAGGGCTCCTGTCCCCCTTCTGGTTTTTGGCCTGCCCTCTTTCGAAGGCCTTGTGCCCTGTGATGTGTTGTGAGACGTCTGCTTGATGGGGGGAGGGGGGGTGCGTTGGGCGCTCAGGCTGCGGAGTTTGGAGCATAGCTCCCGGGCATGCCCTGCTCAGTTTAATTTTTCTCTCTTCTCCCCAAGCACGTGTGCTAATGATATTTTACAGTGCAATTATTCTGAGCTAAATCTGGGCTGTGCTGAGAGGCAGCTAGAAATCCTCTGGGTAATGGCGAGCCCTCGGCTTGCCGTTATCAGGCTTCGCTCCTCGGAGGAGGGGGATTGGCAGGAGGAGGTGCGGGGAGAGGGGGTGGGTGGGAGTGATCTGTTCGGGGCTTCAGATGGTCTGAAAGCAGTGCCCCACCACCACCACCACCAAGTCCGCTGGACAGCCCTGCTTAAAAAGCATATCACAGTCTTTCCCAGGCCGAAATCCGTTCGACAGCAGAGCAGATAACCTTGTTCCTTAAGAGTTTGGGACTTGCTCTCTGGTCACGTTACCTGTTAATGGGAAGGTCTGAAACAATCCAGATTCACTGCCAGAAGATGGCAGGTTCATTTTACCTGAATAAATTTGTCAGGAAAGCCAGTCTGAGTGTTGAGCTAGGAGCCGGGGTGCCCAGGTTCGCATCCCCTCCGCTCTGCCGTGGGAGCTCTCTGGGGTGACCTTGGGCCAGTGTTGGGATTCTTGTTTAAAGTAAATCAGCAGAGTATTAAAGAGACTGAGTCCATGGTGTATTTAAAATAATATAAAAGTTTACTATAACCTAGCATGGGAAAAGGTACATAGGATATAAAATAACAAAGAGCTAAAATGGCTACATCCTTACAGCTAAAAGGTAAAACTGGAATGGCATGGCGTCTTCTTCTCGGTCAGAACAAAGAAACACAAAGACGGAAGAGAAGCCATAAAATGCTAATACTTGACACCTTGGTTTCCAATCAGAGTAGCAAACTAGCTCCAAAGCTCCCAGGCATCCTATTGTCTAAAACAGATTGGTTACAAACAAACATGTGACTTAACAAACATCATTAACCCAGTAAATACTGAAGTGTTTTAACTTGTAACACCCAACAGCCAGTCACACCCCCTCTCAGCCTAGCCTACCTCGCAGGGATGTTGCTGTGGGTGTGAAATGGCGGGGAGGAGAAGGATGGAAGCTGCTTTGGTTCCCCATCAGGGAGAAGTAAAAGAACAACAACACAGCCCTGCGTAAGTTTTACTGACATAGGTGCCTCATGCATGCGTGCGTTTGTTAAAAACGTTTCTGTCCCACCTTTCCCCCATGGCTTGTCATGGCTTGTGGTACATGATGTTAACTGTGAGCTAAACATGACCTGGAAGGAGACAGACTCTCTGGGCTTACTGAAAGATTTCAGAACAGCCTCCACTCTACGCTGCATTGCCAGGTCCTGTCTGAATTGCTCCATGTTGGAGAGTACGGCTGTGATGCCGTAGGGGTGTGTGTGTCTGTGTGCCATGCAACATGGCTGTGTGCGCCAGCTCCTTCAGGTCCTGACCCAGGGTGAGTTTTCCTTAAGAGTAACTAGGAATTCAGTGTGTTCAGAGGACGCTTGAGAAAATACGCATGCAGTGGGACAGTGACGGGGGTAGACAAAAATGGGCGAGGTGAAAAAGTCCGTAACCATCGGAAGCCCCGTGTTGACTCCGCACCATTTCAGCGGATTCCTCAGAGTGGCTGGGTCCAGCGATTCCCTTAGCAGAAGGCACGGGCGAATGCAGATCTTTGCCTCGCTCCAGCAGTCCTTTCTGACCTTGGGACAGTCAACACCCAGGCCCGTGGGACCCCTGTGGACGAGTAGCCCCGTGTGCTGCTGGCAGTCTGCACTGAGGAGGGGGAAGGAGCTGAAGTTGCGCTTGCAGGCGGGGGGGGGGATTCCTCTCCCTCCCCAGCACAGCACCCCCCTCCTGATCTGCATCACTCTTAGTCCATGACCCAAGCAGTCAACTTCCCCAGGGTCATGAGGGGCTGATGGTGGGGAGGCGGAACACCGTGATGATCTGTGCTCCTTTTGAGGAGGGGGCGTCTGAATAATCCAACCCATTTGTTCAGGATTTCCTCTTGACCCCCCCCCCCCCGGGTATGGAAATCTCGCTGTATTTGAAATGAAAACGGAAGCTCTCGGGATGAAAGTCTTAACGCCGGATTCCGTGCCAGAGGCCAGAGCCCATGATTCACATCTGTCCCTGGCGTTTCTATCCTGCCATCCGTTGAAGGAGCTCGGAGCCGTGCACCTGCATCTCCCTTCTCCCACGTGGGGAGAATGAGAGTGACTGACCCAAGGCCACCCCACGAGCTTCCAGGGCAGAGCGGGGGCTTGAAGCCGGGCCTCCCAAGAACTAGTGTGACCATCTCACAGCGATCGCAGCTCCATCCTTTTCCTGAGCCCTTTGCACGTGCCGCTTTGCCTTCGGTGGATACTACGATGCTGGCAGAAAAGGGTGGTCACGATGGCTACTACTGGGGGCTGGCCAGGGAGATGGAGCCTCCTCAAGTGGAGAAGACCCGGCGTTTAGCCACCAGCTGGGGCCCTGCTTCTGGTCTCCCTCCCTCCCCCCCCCCGCCCCAAAGCCTCCAAAGCTGGGCTGGTTGCACAAGCTGCGGGAAGCCCTGTTCTTGGCCTCTTAAAAGCCTCCGCTCTCCTTTCCTCCTTTTAATTGCCTCTCTTCTCTGCCTGCCTGCCTGAGTGCCTGTGGCTGTGTTATTAGGCACTTCATTAAGTCTGGGCCTTGCGCGCCCCGCACCCAGTGCAGCAGCAGCACGGAGGGAGCAGGGAAGGCTCTTGAACGCCCGGCCCGCCGTCTTGCGCTTTCGAGAGCCGGGATGCTGAGGATCTTCCGAGGAAATCCTGGGGTTTGAGGAGAGCCCTTATTAACGTGCACAGCGAGGGGTAATAATCCGGACCTCTGGTAATCACTCAGCAGGGGGGGGAGGGGAGGAGCAGAACCTGCGAAGGGACAGCTCAGTCTCTCTCTGCAGAGGGAGGCTCCGCAGCAGCTCCCGGATGTTTCGAGGCGGTCAGGGGGCCCCTCCCCCTTTGTGTCCGTAGTCCCTCTGGAGTCGTGTGGGGCACTGTGTTTGTGGACCAAGCTGTATCCAGAGACTGCCTGCAGATAGTTCCGTCATCGGTGCAGTTGTGGGTCTGGCTGCATTCTCTGTCTCTCGCTCGGTTCACGCCAAATGTGCCTCTCTTGATCACAGTGCTCTGGCTGCCTGTCTCTAGGGTGGGCTTTTGTGGACAGGCCAGCGGGCACACGAATACACGAAACTACCGTACCTTCTTCCTTGATGAGGTCGTCGTTGCCTGCTCCGACCGGCAGCAGCTCTCCAGGGTCTCAGGTTGAGGTCTCTGACATCACCCGCTACCTGATCCTTGTAACGGCAGGTGCCGGGGTTACCTTCTGCATGCCAAGCAAATGCTGCCACACTAAGCCATGGCCCCACCATGCTTTTTGCGCCTCTCCAGTGGCGAAGTGGCTGCAAAGCCGTGCAACGTGGGGAAGATGGATTGGCAGAAGGGAAGTCATGTATTCAGCTGGTGTGGCTATACTTCCAGCGCCCTGAAAGTTCCGTGATTGACACACATCATGCAAACCTTTGTGTGCTTGTTCCTTGGTCCGCTTCCGAAAATCAACTTTCCAAAAGCCAGTGTAGCGTGATGGTTAGCGTGTCAGACTAGAATCCGGGAGGCTCAGGTTCGAATCCCCACTCTGCCAGGGACGCTGCCCGGGTGACCTTGGACCCGTTACACACCCAGCCTACCGTACCTCCCAGGGCCCTTGCGAGGATAAGATGGAGGAGGGGAGATCAGCGCAAGCTGCTTTGGGAGGAAGGTAGAATACAAATGGAATAAACCAAAATATGTGCATTTTGCAAGGATATGAGGAGGTGGCTGGAGAAAGCAGCACATGGAGACCGGGGGCGGGGCGCGCGTGTGTTAGGTGGGCAGTTGGGCCCTGCGGTCCAGTCTGCCAGGCTAGAGTCTTTTCCAAGCCCTGTTCTTTGCCCCTGCCTGAAAAGGGGAGAGTGGGTGGTAACCAGAAACAGGGATAAGCAAAACCGCAGGATAGGTTATGCAAGGAGCTGAAATGTCTCCTAGGGAATTGGTAAGAGTAGAAGCTCTTCCTGTTTAAGTATAGGTTTCCCCGACCCACCTCAAGAAGGTTCATATGAACTTCTAGGCTTTGCTTTCCCCATCATGATGCCAAGAGCCTAATTGATCCAAATACTCGTAACAGTCAAGCCTGGCACAAAGAACTGCAAAAAGGGACTCTACTGGAATGCTTGTTTGTGTGTCCCCAAGAGAGTTGGTGCCGTCTGGTTGATCAGACCGTGGGCTGTGCACCAGGTTCAGATCTTGCCCTTGCCATGTAGGCAGGCCGCTCTTTTCTCAGGCTCTGCAATAACAGGGAGAGCAGCTCTGGCCTACTCCACGGCCTGTCGGGATGGCCAAGGGAGCAGTGTGCTATAAGCATTCAGAGCACTGATCCAAACGTTAAGCATCGTTTCGGAACAGGGCCGTGAGCCGAAGAAGCTGCTTCTAAATATACTGCTTGCTTATTTATATCCTGGTTTTCTACCTAATGGGAGTCCATATCAGTTTACAATATTTTGAAAAGTGCAATAGCAACAAACAGAAGAAAGGGGAAGGCTTCGGAATTCAGAGCCGGTCTCTCCCAGCCTTTAGCAAAGAGCCAGAGGCCAAGAGCCCTTTTTGGCTCTTGCCCTTCAGCTCATACACATGTTTCTCATGTAACCAATGTTCTTTAGCTGTAGAATACCTGGGAATTTTCTCCCTGATCTAGGAATTTGATTGTCACTAAAGTGTCAAGGTGTATTAGCATTTTATGGCTCTCTTCCCGTCTTTGTTTGGTGTTCTGAAGAAGAAGAGTAGCCATAATCTCCTCTCTTCTAGTTTTGTCTTTGTAGAGTAAGGATGTAGCCGATTTAGCTCTGTTGTTATTTTCATCCCAGTTACCCTTCCCATGCTAGAATTTAGTAAAAACTTTATATTTTAATCACACATAAACTCTGAGTCTGAATTATTTTATTCCGGGACTGCTGGACTATCTTATCTCTGCTAAATACCATTTTTTCAGTATCTCACTATCACCCAACACATACATCTGGACATGTCCAGGCTTTTCAGTACCTGTAGCAGAAGAGAAGCAAACTCAGCCGGGCCTTACACAGCTGCCGCCGGCCAGCTGACGTGATCTTGCCTTCTGGTCTTCACAACCCACTTGCAAAACAGCTCCATGTTGTTTTTCCTCCTCCCCAGTGCACAGCAGTTAACACTTGAGAGCAATGTTCCCTCTAAGCTGTGGCATCCTGTGAGCAAAAATCCTACTTTGTGAGCTACTGGCATTAAAGTTGTGAGTGAGCCATTTGGCTACTGCATAAATTAAGTCTGCTCTGGAGCCATCCCTTCCTGAGCTAAGCCAAAAATGTGTGAGCCGGAGACTAAAAAACTGTGAGCTGGCTCACACTAACTCAGCTTAGAGGGAACACTGCTTGAGAGTCTTTCTCCCCCCCCCCCTTTTCAGTATTTATTAATGTAGAGCATTATTGAGCGGTGAGGCCATTCTGTACAGCTGGGCAGGGGCAAACCTAAACTACCTATTAGCATTCCCAGAACGGTTTCTCCTCCAGCACCAGAGTCTGAGAAGTGCTGGCACAGGGTGACCCGCTGCTGTCTAGCTCTGGCTCTCTCTCTGTGGGAATGCTGAGCTGCCCTTATCTTCCATCACTTGAACAGTGTAGAAGTTGCCCTGATGGTGCCAGAACATCCTCAGAATGTGCTCTTTCTTTAACCCTTCCAGGAGGAAAAACTGTGCGTCCTCTCCCCAGACGGTGCTATGGAGTCGGTCTCAACAGCCTGAGGATAAAACGCCGCTCCAGAGCGTGCTGGAAGGGAGGTCCTCCAGCTCTTCCTCTTCCAACCACTCGGAGAACTTCTCCAGGCTGGGCAGCAGTCCGTTGGAAGTCCCCAAAGCCAGGTGAGCTGCAGGGAGACTCTAAGGCTTCAGGAATGTGCAGGAGCGGGAGTTCTGTCTTCGGCACTCCTCGTGATTTTGTGACTTTAATTCTTGGGTGTGCAAGGACCTGAGTCTAGGGGGGGAGGTGGAGACCTAGCAGGGCAAATAGAAGCACCTGAAACTTGTTGCCAGGTATAGTGTGTGTGTGTGTTCTTCCTTGCCTAAGGAGTCCAGAGTGATGGGAGGAGAGCAGTCTGGGAACAAGGCCAAGATTTGGGAGCACCTGCTATAGCCGAGAGAGCTTCTTGGAGGCAGAATGAGTGGTCTTCAAAAATCAGTGTGATTTGGATCTCACTCTGGGTGGCCCTGAAGACACTCGCATTCAAATCCAAACGTGTGGCGCCAGGCTGCGGGAAGAAAGCAGAGGAAATGTGGCCTTCGTTCGGAGGGCTTGTCGTCTGCATTCAGTGAACAAGGCTTTCAGGAGGGTGGGGGGAGGCCAAGATGGGAGGGCTGTCAAGAGGCAATAGAGAAGCCGGCTTGCAGAGGCCAGGGGCCCTCAGGAAAGTCTAGCAAGGAGAATGCTTTGAGGGAAAAGCAGCGAGAGACTAGGGGTGCCAGGCTTCTGGCTGGCATCCCTAGGAGCTTTCTGGGTGGGGCGATGGGCAGAGATGACATCCAGCAACGTGTGATGTCACATCCCTCCAGAAAGCCAAATTACAATGTTAAGTGCGTTGGGACAGACAGAGTTGCCTTAATGCATTTTTGTTGCATTTGGCCGTGAACGTGGCTTAAAGAATCCTGGAATCACAGAGTTGAAAAGGGGCCATACAGGCCACCTAGTCCAACCCCCTGTTCAATGCAGGATCAGCCTACAGTATCCCTGACCAAGTGTTTGTCCGGCTGCTGCTTAAAGACTGCTGTGACGTCATGTGTCCCCAGATGTCATTTCTGGCCTGTCTCTCACAGGATGGGAGGGAAGGAGCCGGGCAGAAGGGAGGGCCCAGCCACGGGGAGGCCTCCTGCTCTAAGCGGGCAAAGGGTC